TTCAGGGATGGGTGATAACTCTTCTTTGAAGGAAAAATCAAAAACAAAAAAACAAAAATAAAAAAAAAAAACAAAGCATGGTTTTAAGTGTACCTGATAGGCCCTTTTGGTCGATGCTCCTGTAACTAGACCCAACCTGAGATTTTGGGTTAGCTTTTCTTTGTTTTGTTTATGAGCAAGACAGACATTTATCAAACTGTAACCTACATCTCAGTTTGGGAAAACAAAACAAGGCAAAATTTAATCTCTGGGAAGCAGTGCAGTAACAACTGTTAAGACCACAGATTTTGGATTAGGCATCCCTTAAGCTAGCATCCTGCCTACTATTAGTGCATGACAGTCATTTATATAATATTGACACATTGTAAAAACACAGCAAATAGTAGCTTTACACTGGGATTATCATCAGTGGGTTATGGAAGATTTAAATTGAGTAAGGTACCACCTATCCTAGTTGTCAATAGTCAAGTTTGTATGCTGTCTATCTTGGTAAGCCTGAGATTGACTGTTACAGCACTGGGGCTTCCGTCTGCAGCCGTATTCTGTCTTTTACACACTATAGGAAACTAATCTTGTTATTCATTTAGCTTCTGCTCCATTCCTTTCTTGCTTAGTACTTCTAGGTGATGGTATGCTTTTACCACAGTTTTATAGTATTAATTGATGCTTTTTTCCCTTTTCTTTGTGAAGTCATTTGTGCTCTTTGCATTAAACCTTAGAAAATACTCCCAGGGAATGAACAGAAGGATAAAGTTAGGGATTTTGTTTGGATTTTTAAACTAGTATTACTTCTTAACTAAGGGTAGTTACTACCTCTTGTTCATCATTCTTCTATCATAGTTGATAGTGCAGTTTAAATAATATTCTCTTTTCTTCAAAAATTTTCATCAGGAATACTGTGATGGCTGTAGTGGTCAGTGTTATATCTTAAGGCATTTGTCTCAGGGTAGAATGCTAATCCCTTCTTGTCATCCTACATCAGTCTCCTGTGCCCCCAGACTAAGCTATTCTTTTCCTGTAGAGTGTAGTCTACCTCCTTGATTCCCTGCTCCTGAAAGATGAGCTGATATCATCTGTTCCTCTAAGACTTACTACTTGCTTTGAAGTTCACAGTCACTTTCTTTGCTGTTGTTACATCTTTTTTGCTGTCTGACCAGTTTTGTGTTACTCTGTCATACATGGAACCTGATTTTATGTTTTGATTCTCTGTGTATTCTTCTTTTGTGTTCTTGAGTGAAGTTTCTTAAAAACAGCAACAAAGTTTAGGATGTGGTTATAATCAAATGAAAAATTTGCCAGATCTTGTATTTGATATTTGACATTGATATCTCATCGGTCCTCTTTATTATCTTATGAGGTAGGTATATTTATTTTACCATAAATAGGAAACTAAGTGTTGGTGAGCTTTCAGCGTATCCAGTCATAGGGCACATTTGAAATCTGAGATGAGATCTATGACTCTAGATCCTGAGATCTGACCCTTCAATTGTAATGCTATAATGCTGGCATCTGGATTACCTTAATTGTCCAGAGAAAGTGGTCACAGGTCATTTGACACACTCAGATACTTAACATACACTTTTCATCTAGTGGGGATCTTGTTTGGGGGAGGAATGCGTGCGATGTGCATTGTGTTCAGGCCTTGTATCCTTGTGCCCACTCCCTTCCCAGGCCCCTTCATGGCTGTGCTCTTTGCCAAACTCGAGAACATGCTGCAGAACTCCGTCTATGTCAACTTCCTGCTGACGGGGCTGGTGGCCCAGCTGGCCTGTCACCCCCAGCCCCTGCTCCGCTCTTTCCTGCTCAACACCAACATGGTCTTCCAGCCCAGTGTCAAGTCCCTGCTGCAGGTGTGCGATGCATGCATGCATGGGTGCGTCCAGGCTCAGTGATGGGCCAGGCCCACAGCTAGAGTGACTTTGGGTGGGCTGGGAGCAGGTGCAATGGGACTGTAGAAAGGCCTGTGTCAATATGAAGCCATCAGAAATGTGCTTCAGATAGATAAAATTGTGCTTCATAGGTTCTGGGCTCTGTGAAGAATAAGATTGAGAGCTTTGCAGCCTCCCAGGAGGACTTCCCTGCTCTGTTATCCAAAGCCAAGAAGTACCTCATTGCCCGTGGCAAGCTGGACTGGGCTGAGGGTCCTACAGCAGGATCTGCTCCCCGCCGCTCTGATTCTCTAGGTGAGAATTAATTGACCACCCTTCCTTATTCTTCTAAATACCTCATTAGCCCGAGTTAGTTAAGACTGAAGAGCTGTTGAAAATGGAGTCTTCGTGTTGTCAGGTTTTGAGTCAGAGGATAGAGTTGTTTTATTAATTAAGAGCCTAATTGGCAATATAAAAAAACAGAACAAACAAACAAGCAAACAAAAAACAAACCAAAAAACTGTGTAATGATCTAGGGACAAGGAAGGAGAAAGAAGTTCTTACTGTTGGCATCAGTGAGAACTTGATGTGGCATTTGCCCTCAAGTAATGAGAATAGGGGGTTTACAAGGCTATGCAACAGTTGGTGATATGGCTAGAAAGATTTGGCCAGAGTAAGAGGTTTTTAGAGTGGAAGTTAGGCTGGGCAGAAGTTGTGATTTTTCTTTCAGACACTAAGATAGGAGAGATTTTTAAAATCTGGATGTGATGAGTAATTGCAGGTGTACTGGAATTAAGAGAAGGGATTCAGAAAGAACAATCAGGACCAGGGAGGTTTAAATCTGAATTGTGGAAAAGAAAGGAAGCACCTGATAGGGCAGAGATGGCAAAGAAGTTTTTGCAGAAGTTGGAGACAAAGAAGCTTTAAATACACAGAATTTGGTAGTGGTTGAGATAAGGAAGCATTAAATGCAACAGTCTTAAGTTCTTGAGTTCATAGTTCAGTGCATGAGATAGAACCCTTGAGAAGAAATTATTGATGTTGAGTTAATGATAGTAGAACAGGAAGTCACTGTAGGGAAGATCACAAGAGTGTTTTCAGGGTTCTCCCAGGTGGAGATAACTAAGTTAGAAAGGACAAAAAAGTAGGAGTGACAAATTGTAGCCAAAGAAAGCTACAGATAGATATAAGGTACCTGTTGGAATCAGTGAAGATAGGTATTGGGATAGAAACTTGTGGGCTTTAGAGAGTGAGAGGAGTTGCTGAGTGAGACCCTGGTTGTGAAGGGCTCTGAATGCAAGGTTAATAAGTTTGTATGGTGTCTCTGTAATTATTATTAGAGGTGGTGAATAGAAACATTTATCATGATGTAGGGGCTAGAGTCTAGAAAGTTAGACAGAGGACAGTATTTTAGATAGCTTAGTTGAGTCTAAGCAAATGTGAAGTTATCTGGGATAACTTCATACCCAGTATAAGGGAGGTCTTGGTGAGTGTAGGGCAATTACTGATGAGTGATGAAGTGGTAGTGGAAGTAAATTGATCTTAGACAGACAATAGAGTATAAAGAAATGAAGCAGTTTCTGAACTACAGTTGTACATATAGGTATTGAAAGAGATGTGGATGTAGGTTAGCTTTAGATAAAGCAAAGTAGAAGTAGTTAACTGTATATATTCCTAGAGGAATGGTTCTCAAACTGTGGGTTGTGGCCCCTTGGGGGGGGTCGCATATCAGATATTTACATTACAATTCATAACAGTAGCAAAATTACAGTTGTGAAGTAATAATAAAATTGTTTTATGGTTGGGGTCACCACAACATGAAGAGCTCTTAAAGGGTTGCAGCATTAGGAAGGTTGAGAATTACTTCTCTAGAGGGTGATAGGAAATACAAAGTTAGGGCATATTACATATGAGAACAATCTTGGTGGTGGTAGAGTAGTGGTTAGAACAATTCTTTAGGGTGAGGAGAAATGGAGAAGGAAGGAATTGTAGCTGGTAATAAAGTAGCTCAAATATTGGCTGCTGAGGAGACTAGATAGAGGGGAAAGGCTGAGCAAGCAGGATTTTGGTGAGAGAATGAGGAAAGGCACCCCTTCTCAAATCTTCCATCATTTTTAGAGATGAGACAAGAAATGAACTTCAAATTCAGTTCCTGTCCATCTTGTCCTTCCATTTTTTCAGAACTCCAAGGGAAAAGTTCAAGAACCTAAGTGGGTTGGGGAATCTGTTTCCCAAACTAGGGCAGGTTCCCAGATCCCAGCACCTTGATATCCCTGTTTATTCTCAGTGAGAAGCCGGAGACCATCCTTGGGAGAGTTACTCCTGCGGCATGCACACAGTCCAACCAGGGCCCGGCAGGCGGCACAGGTCCTTCAACCTGGGCGAGAAGGAACAGGACTTGGACTAGGTGGGGGCTCTCCAGGGGCTTCAACTCCAGTTCTGCTCCCCCGGGGTGGGGTTTCTGAACGCCAAGGTGAGGCTCTGCGAGTCAAGAACGCTGTCTACTGTGCAGTTATTTTCCCTGAGTTTCTCAAGGAGTTGGCTGCCATCTCCCAGGCCCATGCCGTCACCTCGCCTTTCTTGTTGGATACTTCAGAGGAGGTATCTATCCCTCCCATCTCAGGCTTTGGGCCCCTCAATCCTTAATTTTCTTCCATGGACAATCAGGGCCTTCTTGTGGCCTGGGCCGAATTCCAGGACATGGGCTCCTTTTTATGTTTGGAGGCAGTGACAAATGGACTTTTTAATTTATTTCAGATGAATGTTTTATGAGAACTTGTTGCAATATGTATAAAAGGGAAATCTCTATTCTGTGCTCATTTTTCTTTGCCACCCTTTATCAATGGGGCTTTGGCCCTGTGAAGGTTGTATATAAGTTGGGGAATCATCAAAGGGATTTGCTCTCTGGTGATAACACTGATAATAGGGTTTCAAGATAGCCCCTTTACTCTTTGAAGGTGAGAGGACTTGATGCTCAGAGAAAAATGGAGAGACTTCATTTTTCTGAACCATAGAAGGAAGAAGCACATAGACCCAAGGTGGTTTGGGGGTGCAGCAGCTGATGTTTATTGGGGACCAGAATCCCTATGTCAGATCTTAGGGGCGTTGCCCCCTGCATCTCTTGCCTCAGCTTCATTCGTCGCTGTCGAACTCCGAGGACAGACCCTGCAGCAGGGGCAGGGACATGGAGTGCCGGTCTGGGTCCCCGGGGCCCCCACCCTGGGCTCCTGGTGGAGGGTTGCGGGGACTGAAGAGCCAGTTCTCTGCTAGGGTTGGGGATAGTCACAGCTTGACTCATGCCCTGGTCTTCCTCCCTAGCCCCTCCCTCTTCTCTGTGCTACATTCCCCACCACATAACCCTTATCAGGGCCATGCTCCCATCTCACCCTCCCTGGACTCCTTCAAGTCTGTCCCTTCATTAGGGTCCTGTACACATTCTGGGCTCCTGAACCCATTCCTGGGCTATATTCCCAGTATCCTCTCCCTCCAATGGTCTTTCCCATTCCTCATCTTCATTTCCCCTAGCAGTACCTGAAAGCATATAGGGGCCCCTCCGGAAGGGGTTTCGACCCTTACAGGAGAATCTGGTGGGTCTGCCTTCTGGCCCTTCTTGGGGAGGAGGTGTAGGTGGGGCTGGGGCAGGTTGAGCTATATCAGCAACTTCAAGGGTATCAGCAGGTACTGATGTGGGGGCCAGAGTTGATAAGATGCTAAGGCTAGGTCTAACCCAGTTAGCTCCTTGAGGCAGTGGGTCTTTGGTTAGAGACTTCTGTGGTCCCAGCACACCCTTGGGCTGCAGTGAAAACTTGAGGCAGGAGAAAGCAATAGGTAGAGACCGCTGTAACCGGAGTAGCTGTGGCTCACGGGCTGTAGGTAATAGCCCTAGTTGCAGCCAGGTGCAGGAGAAGACCTGGTAGATCACGTAGATGCTGTGGGTGCTTCGGAGCCAGGGAAGATTCTGCTGTAGGCTCACCTGCCCTGGTGGTAGCATCAGGAAGGCAACCTTCTTGCGCAACCCTCCCATATGTAGGCGGATGCGGCAGGGCTGCCCATCCAACATTCTCATTTCTTCATAGGCTATCTCGGCTCGGCCATTTGGCGAGTATTCCCGAGTGCAGTGGGCAAAGACACCCTCAGACCCTGCCTGTTCTAGAAGATTTGGTAGCAGCCCTACTGATTTCAGTGCCCTTCTGCCCTGTCGGCCTGGCAAAGTTAGGCGGGTGTGGGCTGGACGGGACTGTTTCACTAGCACTCCCAGTAGATCATAGCAGGCTGCATCCGATAAGAAAGGTACTGCCACTACATTGGACCCAAAACGATCCTCGATGACCTGCAAGTGGCCAGTTTATAAGTCAGGGGCTGAGTTAAGGTTAGAGGTTAACTTGTGTGGTCTAAATTGACCTTCCCACCATTGTTCACTGTTTAAATACATTTCTACAGTATACACAGACTCACACTTTTTAATCTCCTAGTTCCCTTTTGTAACAAAACCTTGAGTGTCTTATTTTGTGCCTGATAGTGGTAGATACTTGGATACATGAAAGAATGAGACTTTGTCCTCATCCTAATGTAGCTTGGGCTAATGGATGGGGACAAAAATGTGAACAGTAGTTAGCTAAGTAAAATAATAGCAAAATGTGACAAAGACAAGTGATTTAACAGCCCTTGTCTTTGATAGAAAGATGGTCAAAGAAGTTTGCTAGGTGGCAATACTTGAGCTTTGAGGAATTAGCAGGTTGGGTGTGGTCATTCCTGGCAGAAGGTACAGCCAGGGAAAGTCCTTGAACCATCAAATCATGCACATTTAGAAACACAATTTAATATTGCTTGCATTTAAGGTAGGAAGAGGAAAGGCACAGAGGAATTAGGCTATGAAAAGGTGTGTGTATATGCCTTTTATAAGTGACTGTTTGATCCTGGGGCCAATGGGAAGCCACTTATGGGCTCTGGGTGGGAGATGGGACCAGGAAGAAGAGAAATGATCTTTTAATAGGCAAAACAACTGTTGCAATAATGCAAATAAAACATGATATTAGTTCCTGAACTAAAATAATGGGAGGTTGAAGTCACAAAATTGGTAGAACTCAGTCTCTTCATGGATATGGAAAAAAGGAATCTTCAAAGATCATGCCTAGGTGATGGGTTACATGGGTAATATTAGGGAGAAAGGATACACAGATGTAGGCTTATAATGCCTGTCCTTCGTGGGGGTCAGTTACCTCTTATGTGTATTTTACCTTAGCTGCAAGGGATGTTTGTGTGTGTGTGAAGCCTAATCTTTGTATCGTTCTAGTATCCATTTAGGGTTTCCAGTTCCTTAGGTCTGTCTGTTTTTTTTTTTTTTTTTTTTTTTTTTTTTTTTTTTTTTTTTTTGAGTATGTGTACTTGGTGACCAGTTTATTGAGAGTACCTGGGAACCCTGTAAGATCCTGTTTAGTAGTTAGTAACTTAGCAGTTAAAGATGTCCATCCATTCAAAGTTTCATTAGCTGAGCCTTCTGACTAAATTATATTAGAGAGCAAGGTCACAGGAAAGTTCCAAGTGATCTACTTTTTTTCCACCAGATCCCACATATCTGTGTTCCTACACTGAATTCACCTAATGACCCATGAGGCTGCCCTGCTCTTACTTTGTAACATTAAATTGTTTTTGAAGTGCTGGCCTCCAGTATCAAAAGAAGGAAATCTATTGTCTGTCTAAGATCAATTTTGTCTTGTTCTGCTTGAATTTGTCAAATTTATCCTGTTTATCTCTTCCTGAGTTATTCACTGAGATAATATAAAGAGGGTTCCCTTTTTCTTTCCTATAGTGGAAGACGTCATTTATGTTCACGGTAATTTTAGCAGGTCTAGTGTAGATAGAGATTAGCACTATTGAAAACAATTATTCTTAATCTTGGGAAACCCCTTTGTTTTTGCCTTCCTTGCCTCTATGGTGAGCATATTCCCAAGCAATGGGAGTTAAATGCCATTAATGCTGCTTCAAGTCTGATGGATGCTATTCTAAGATGGTAATTTAAGCTTGGGAATATAAATTTTTTCCCTTTTTCCTCTCATGGATTTTGATATTTGTCTTAAATTAGTTGTTCATTCATCCGTCATTCATTCAGGTGTTTATTTTGTGACTTTTATATGTCAGTTGCTACTGCTACTATTGTCTTATATATCCCACCTCTTCCTACACAGAAACCACCTAAGAATCAGCCTGGTCACAGTTTTCCACTTCCTCTTTAGCCTCCTCACTTTACCTACCTTATCCTTGATGAGGGCCCAAGTGGCATCTGCTTCATCCAATGTTAGCAAGTGGGGGTTACTGACCAACATGGTGGGTATGGGAGGGGTTGGGTAAGGTAGTGGCTGCTGCAGGAACCCCCAAGCTGCCCAGGGAGGTAAGTTTCCCCCCCCCCCTGCCTTGGGCTGTGACCTACTCCAGCATGAGGTCATAGAGGTCCTGCTAGGTGATGGAGCCTTGGATACAGAGAGGACAGTAACTGTGCTAGCCTTCTTACAGCCTGTGGGTTATAATATTTACAAATTTTTATTTCCTTTTCCCTTTTCTTTCCATTACCCTGTGCCATTTCATTTTTCCTTTCTGTTCTTGTCCTGACCGTTGAACAGCACAAAGATGATCTCCTTTTCACGCCCCCCCCCTTTTTTTTTAATCTTATATTGTCTTGCTTCTTGCATGGTCTCATGGTCTTCTGCCTCAGCCTGGAGCGGCCATTCTCTTATTTTGGGGAGGGAAAATGCAACACATTCTTTCTGTCTCAGTCTCTCCTTATCTGTAGTTCTTGGTTTGAGTTCTTTAAGGAAATGGGGTAGGACCATTCCTCTTTTTAACTGCCAACTAGTTAGTTGTAGATTACTTTGAAGTTGCATTGGGGTCCTGAAATACATGGAAGTAGACATGAAGACTTACACTAAAAAACAAGCATATAAACAACAACAATCAGAAATTCTGATTTAATTTGTCTGGGGTATGCCTGGAAATCCTAACTTCTGAAAACTACTAGGTTGAAACCAGTTAATGAGTGGGTTATAAAAGCTGTAGAAACCAGGTGTATGTAGGAGGGTGTTAGGTTGAGCAATGGCAACGTGGAGAGTAAGTCTAAATGGGATTTTGTTTCCTTAGTAACCAGCAAAAATTTTCAGGAAGCCAGAATTACCCAGGTAAACATGAAAATTTTCTTTATGCTTCATTCTTGTCCTAGGCCAATTTGTGTGTAGTAGTTTCTTCTCCCACACTAGTTATTACTCTTCTTCCTTGTGTTTCTGTCCAGAGAGCTCAGTATTTTGCTGGAGAAGAATAGCTTCAGAAGAAATCACTTTAGAACTTTCAGGAATCATTTTCCCCTTCCATACCTTGTCTGTCCCATAGTCCTCCTCCTGAGGTCCCCTGGAGGTCTCCTGTTGCAGCCTGACCTAGAGGGAAATACTGTCTTGCAAAGCTGGCTGTCATCTGAGCCACCTGAAGTGATACATGTCTTACCACATAGAAGGATACTGCAGTGATGGGAAAGTGTTATCAAGAAAAGTTTCCAAAAGGAGGTACAGTTGGACTCAAGGGAAGGCACATCTCATCAGATAGAACTAAATGTAGAGGTGCCAGATCCTTTAGCAAATGAGTGACGACAGTAGGCCTAGCCCTGTTTTCAGGAAAGAAATGGTCAGATATTTGTTGAACTCTTCTATGCTATGACCTGTGTCAGATACTATGTTATCTTAGAGGATCCTTTTAGGAATCTCTTGTTTTGTTTTGTTTTGTTTGTTTGTTTGTTTGTTTTTTCTTTTTTGAGACAGGCCCTCATTGTATACTCTAGAATGGCTCTGAACTCATAATGTAGTTGCAAGCTGGCCAGAACTCAGAGCAATCCTCTTGAACGCTGGGATTACAGGTGTGCACCTCTGTGCCCAGCTTCTTTTCTGGAGTAGGTATTATTGTTTCATTTTATAGTGAAGAAAAGGTTCAGAAAAATTAATTAGCTAACACACAGTGAGTAGTTAGTAACAGATCTTGAGTTCCAGCTCTTACTATTGAATAATAGCTCCTTTTGGTGCTGTTACATGGCTCACTTCACTGTGTAATGAGAGAAATATATGTGGTTTAGTGAGAAGGAAGTGGGCAGGATGCAAGAGAAGCCACAACAGTTCAAGTGAGAAGCCTTAGGTTTCTTAAGAGAACTAGAACCAAGTTCCTCCTTTTTTGTGCCTATTTAACAAGCCCTTTGTACAATACCATCTTTGATATTTAGGACTCCAATTTTTAGTTTTGGATGTTTTGCCTACATGTATATATGTGCATCATGTGTATGCCTGGTGCCAGTGGGGTCCAGAAGATGACATCAGATTCCTTGGACTGGAATTAGAGACAGTTGTGAACTGCCATGTGGGTGCTGGGAATTGAACCATCTGGAAGAGTAGCCAGTGCTTTTAACTGCTGAGCCATTGTTTGTATTCCCTGAGCCAGCATGTCACTGTGTCACTGAAGCTGGTCTCCTACAGGGTAGTACTTTTGTCTTCTTCTGTCTTACATGCTACAATTGAAGATATATAGCATCACACCTGGTTTAGCACATCCTTTCATTTTGGATGACAAGGAAAGTATATATAGTTGGCACCTCTATTCCTTCCTGAAAGAAATTTGATAAGAAACACTGAAGTGGAATAAGAGGCAGATAGAGACCACTAGAACCATGTACTCTGCACCTCTGCAGTGTAGAAGAGCTGACCAAGAGGCAACGAGAACTGTGCATGTGCAGATGACAAGGGGAGTCCAGAATGAGAAGAGATGGATGAGATCAGTGTAGGTGTAGGGATGGTGGCTTATTGGTCAAACAGGAGACAGAAGATTTGAGAATTTTTGTTCATGGACATGGATTCAGAGGGCAGATTGGGTTCTGATAAACTACTCAGCTGGAAGCCCACACTTTCTGCCCTTTTCTTGCTTTCTGATTCCCATGAATGTCTAGACTCCCTAAATTCTAACATTGAGTAAATCTTGTCTTTCCTTTTTGCTCAGAGTCTGAAACTGAAAGATAATGAAAACATATGGCAACAGAGTCCTGATGAGTTGGTGAGCCCAAGGGTTGGGCTGTTGGGTTGTATCTTGCTGGAATTTGCTTCCCGTGTAGCAGCATTCTGTGGTATCTTTGGAGAGAGGCACTGATCACCTAGAGGATATCAGAGTGATCTGGATGGAGATTGGGAGTAAATAAATAGGATGGCTTCTTCAGAGAACATGAGATTATCTTCATGAATTTCATGGCAACATAGACTAGCATTGGCAGTAAAGACTTTAAGATGATAAAGATCCTTAATAATGTCTTGTTTTAGGCTGCAGGGATAATTGTATAAACGCAATGCTTTATTTTCAGCTGAGAAATTTTCATTTTACGGAGGGAATAGTATTTCCTATGTTAAGGAAAATCCCAGTTGAGATTCAGGGTGGTGCTCTGTAGTCAAACATTCTTTTCAGTTAAAGATGTGAATATTTACACTAAGTGAAATAAAGGCTAAAAATAAGATCATAATGGTTGGGGGTTAGGGTTTTGGCCAAAGATATAAAAAGAAAAAGTGTTTCTCCAGAGATTATTTATTTTGAAAGTGTAGGTGATGGGCTGTGGGCATATAGTTAATCCTCAGGTTATTATGAAGAATGAGAATGTGCTGGTAAAGCTTTCGGAACATATCACATGGTAGGTATGTATGCAATGCCAACAAAACACAAATGTGTTAGATTTTTGGCTTGAAGCAAAACCATTCTCTGCACACAGCTTTGGAAGAAGCAAACTTTGGAGAACTGCACAGCTAGGAGCTGAAGGTGCCTTAGAACTTAGAGACTTCTCATGATGGGATGGTGATATACTCATTGCTGTCCCCATGGTAGGATGGTGACAGACTCATTGCTCATGAACATTCCCTTCCTATGTGTCAGAGGGGAAAGTGTGTGTGTGTGTGTGTGTGTGTGTGTGTGTGTGTGTGTGTGTGTGTGTGTGTGTGTGAGACATGGGGTTATCACACAGGAATTCCTTTGTATTTCCTTATAATAATGTAATAAATATCCTACTGCCATACATGTTTGTTCACATCTCAGTTATTTTCTCAGAATATATTTATCAAAGGGAAATTTCTTAAGAGAAAGACAATGGATATCTTAGCTTTTCATCTATTAAGTTCAGTGTGTCTTTGTGTGCGCATATATGTTTATGGAGGATCCAGAGTTGAAGTTGGGTGTCTTCCTCTGTCATCTCTACCTTATCTTTTGGGACAGTCTCTCTGAATCTGGAGTTCACTGAGTGGCCAGGGAGCTCCAGGGATCTGCCTGTCTCTTCTCTTTGCTTCTCCTCAGTGCTGGGATTATAGACTTGCACCTAGCTTTTATATGGGTGCTAGGAATCTGAATGAGGTCATGCTTGCAGGCCAGGAGTTTTCCCACTGAGCCATTGCTTCTAGCTTTAGGACTTGTATTTCTTAATTTTCTACCAAATCATTTAGTAGAGGGCTTTTAAACTTCGAAGTTCATGAAAAAGGTAAGTTTTGGGAATAACTAAACTCATACATGACTGACTAGACCAAGTGGTTCCTGACCTGTGGGTTGTGACCCCCTTGACAAGCCACTATCTCCAAAAATATTTATATTATGATTCATAACAGTAAAATTACAATTATTAAGTAGCAACGAAAATAGTTTTATGTTTAATAGTCATCCCAGCATGAGGAATTGTTTTAAAGGGTTGCAGCTTTGGGAAGGTTGAGAACCATTGGACTAGATGCTCTCTTCAGCCATTCAGAGTCATTTTGAGATACCTCTTGAGGTTTATAGGGGTCTAATGAGACCCCACTTAGCCCTAGAAATAACAAATGCCCTTATAGGAGCTTCCCATGTGATGTCCCATGGTGCTTGATCCAGCTTTCTGAGCTAACTAACTGGGCTGGGTTTTCCTTGCTTCAGGTCTCCATGACTAACACCAAGACTTGACGACTGCAGTTTTCTCTGACCTAATATCTGTGACTCCCTGCCTATTATATATTATTCCTTCCATTATCCAGCCTTAACTAAAAATGAATTTCCCCATTGGGCAACACTATGCCACTTCCTGTTTATTATCTTTGGGCAGTGGCGGCAGCATGAAACATTTCCATTGCATCATATTGCACCAGTATCACATGCTGTTAGTGACAATGAGCAGAACACATGGGGTTCTGATGGGGATTTTATTGGGGGATTTTACATTTTTGGCTGAGGGTACACAAATGAGCAGGCTGATATGTGCTTATGACTCGATCCTTTAGATACCAGCTTATTTTTCTTAGTTGGATAGTTG